TTGATTTGTTCCATAAAGGGCATGAAAGGTTCGACTTCAAATTCATACTCTCGCTTTGGTCCACAGAAATCTTTAAGAATTCTAAAACTGAAGCAGCAAAGTTCAGCTCTGCATGTTGAATTGCAGACAAATCAAGAAATAGTCTGATCTACTTTCACTGAAATCTTTATTCTAGCAGACAGTACAAAGCATGAAGCAACTCTCTTTGACTGTAGCCAATCATCCAGGGGGTTTCTTCACAAGCCAGCATTTCATTATAAGACTAAGATTACAGCTAGAACACAGTTAGTTCAACACAACTGGTGGAACACAGCTCCAATCATTTTTGGCTTTTTAAGGAATGGTAGTTAATAATAAAAGTACTCAAGCTTTCAGAAAATACACTGGAAGTGAACAAATGCCCAAAATAAGTTATTTCTATTCTATAATCCAACAGACTGAAAATAAAATCAGATTTAAAAAGTGAAACAAAATAACTTGTCATCTATCATCAGTCTATAAATATTTCAGTTTTAATTGATAAAATAGTCCATATCTAAATAATTCTGGTCATTTTAAAAACCAAATGAACTTTTTGAAGGAGGTCTGTAGATTTAGTTTGCAATGAAATTAAACAAGAACAAAGAATGAGACAAATAGAATCAACTACCACCAGACTGTCTTCAAACCATAAATAAAACAACTAAAGTAAACATGTCTATTGCACAGTGGAGGCATAAGGATGTAAACAACATGAATTATTGTACTGCTTTGTAATGGCACTAGCAGAACTCCATACAGGGTCAGAGGTATCAGACAGAACCAGTCTGACAGACCCAGATGACAGTTGGCATTAAATACCAGATCAGAATTAGCTAGATTTGAACAAGAGGAATAAATGAACAAACTCTTTATTTTAGAGGTTCCTTTTGCTCTCAGCGGGTATGTTGGCATGACAACAGGGTTTAATATTAACCTAAGTTGCTTGATCAGAAATCACGTCTATATTATTTAAGTGGTTAATGAGCTGATGCCAAAACCAATTATATAATCCCTTCTAGGCCTTCACCCAACCAACTGCAGCTACAGCAGCGCTTTTAAACCAGAATTTCTCTGAAGTGTCCATGTTCTCCAAAGCATTGTTAAATAAGTTCATTTACCCTACAGTTTAAGTCTGATAAGCAAATAAATAATACTTCTGTCATCAGCTGCCGTGATTTATAAAAGATTTAAATCAGCCACAAAATACATAATCAGTCGCTCTTTGGGACAGTGAAAACCACCTCGAACATCAAAATCTGACCCAGTCTTTTCATTCTGAGAGCATGTCAGCAGGAGAATCTCATATGATATTAAGCCAAAGTTAAACAGGTCACGTTTAAAGGGATACTTGGCAAATTTTTCATATTTTAAAATTATTCTCTTGAGCCAGTATGTGCTTAAATGACCCTTTACATGGTTAATGGAATGCCACTCAGACCCCCACCGCCCTCTGTGGCCAGAACGCGTTATTTGCTGCTTCAGAGTGCTCGTCCAGTCTATCAGACTTAGAGAAAATGGAGCTGACATACCTGGAGCTGCAGTCTGCTTGCAGGATGTTTCCTGCATGATTTAGATAATGGACACAGCTGATTTGTTTAGTGGTGAATCACTCCTGTAGACAATAATGAAGGCTGGGGAGAAATTTCAGCTGTTAGATTGAGATGTTAAAAAGATAGCGAGGAGATGGGTTTGACTTTTGGTTGTACAACCGGACACTAGGGGGCGCTAAAAGCATGTCGAAACTACATTAGTCTCCTTTTCCCTCTTCTCTCTCCCTCTTTGCATATTTTAAATCAAAATAGTCTATTTTTGCTTATTTTAAACATATTTTAAATAATTTTCTGAAATCTTTTTTATATTTAGGATTTTTTGTTTTTGTGAAGCACCTCATGATTTTTATCTTGACAGGCGGTATAGAAAAGATAGTAATCTTTATTTCTTTAACATTGGCTTATTAGGCAGGGATTACTGACTCATTAAAATTATTGTCTCTTAATGTAATCCTAAACAATTGATGATGTTGAGATCAGGGCTCTGTGGGGACCAGACCATCACTTCCAGGACGCTGAAGATAGTTCTGAATGACTTTTGCTGGATTTTTGGGGTCACTCATTTTGCACTTTGTAAATTGATATATATATATATATCTATATATATATCTATATATATATATCTATATATATATATATATATATATATATATATATATATATATATATATATATATATATATATATATATATATATACATATCTATATCTATATCTATATATATATATATATATATATATATATATATATATATATAAAGAAATAATTTATATTTCTGAAAGCATTCTTTGTTTACAGCATTTTTATCACCTTCAATTCAAGTTTATTTAGATAGCACAAAATCACGACTGCCCAAAACATTTGCACAGTACAGTATATCATTTTACAAAGTGCATTCTGATAACAAACATCTTCATCCCATTGAAAACATGAAAATTGGCACTGGCTGTAGACTGTGCATTAATGTTCAACTGGGGATTTGATTCACCTGCAGATACATGGATGATTCTTTTCCACATAGCCAGCATGGTTCAGCTCAGATTCAATTAAGACAAACCCTGATTAGTCTGACTGCAGCTCCCCCTGAAAAGTTTCCGTTAGCAGAAACCACTATGTGAGGGTATTAGCAGCACACCGCTCCTCAATACTGACTGGAGATCAGAGATCAGCTGATGAGTTAGTCTCGTGTTGGTCCAGAGCCTCCTCTGGGTCTCTAAAACCAGTCTCTCTTCTCACTGATTCGTCTGGAAAATCCTCTCAGGCCAAAGATGTTGTGGTTAAGGGGATGTTCTGTTCCACTTCACTCGTGCTTTAATATCCACTCATCTAGCTCAACACTTGAATCTATTAATTGTTCATCATACATCTCTGATGTGAGCAACTTAAACAGTTTCCCAGCTACACACTAAAGTATCTCCAACAGGCAGATGCGTGTGCGATAGACATGGAGTTGGTGTGGTGCTGACATTAATGACCCACTGAGTATATAAAGGAAAAGAGCAATGCCAGATTTTAGTTTACACACCATTCATCCATGAAATCAAATACCCCAACTTTAAGTCCTCGCATCAGATTTACCTGATACTCAGAACAAACGTCAGGAATACAACCAGGACACATTTAAGTACAAATAGATGCTCCATGAGTTTACCACTTGCAAAAAGCTAGCTTATTAACTGGCAAATTAGTAATTAACACGATGCCAAAGGCTACAAACCCAAATGTTCTATTTATCTCAATTCTTCTGCATCAGGTGGCGTGTTTCTGTCTGGCATTCTACCTGTCCTGTATCTGCAGAACAAAACAGAACCCTAACAAGCAACCTTCACTAATACTGCTGTTCAAATCCATGGCTACTGAAAATAACTGATCTAAAACACAGACCTGTGGCTCGGACATCTGTGGTCATGAAGTCATTCGAGCACCTAGTTCTGCCCCACCTCAAGACCCTCACAGCCCCCCCCCCCCCCCCCCCCCCACCCCCCATACCCCCATCGGTTTGCCTACAGAGCAAACAGGTCAGTAGATGACACAATCAACATGGCTCTATAATTCATCCTGCAGCATCTGGACTCCCCAGGTACCTACGCCAGGATATTGTTCGTGGACTTCAGCTCTGGATTCAACACAATCCTGCCAGATCTCCTCCAAGACAAAATGTCCCAGATGAACGTGCCTGACCCCATCTGCAGGTGGATCACTGACTTCCTGACAGACAGGAAACAAGTCAGGCTGGTGAAGAATGTCTCGGACCAACGGACCATCAGCACCTGCTCACCACAGGGCTGTGTTCTTTCCCCTCTGCTCTTCTCCCTGTACACCAGACCTGGGCATTTTACGGCCCGCGGGCCACATCCGGCCCTTTGGTTGACTTTGACCGGCCCGCGTAAGGTTAATTGGAAATTACAAAATAAATGTATTTTCTCATTTTACCTCATGCATGGGCTAAGGCTGCATTGCTTTTATTTTGAAGTTGTTTTTTACGTGCACAATGACGCAATACGTATAGCAACAAGTGCCGGCGGTTGACATGGTGATTGTAGCCTGAGAAATGTCCGCTCATGCAAAAAAAAAAAAAAAAGAAAAAGAAAGATGCCGAATGCAGGATTTTCAACAAAAATTGGACTGCTAAGTATTTTTTTTACTGAAGTCGGAGGTAAAGCCGTGTGTTTGGTTTGCGGGGAGGAGATTGCCGTGTTTAAGGACTACAATTTGAGTCGGCATTACGACAAGAAACACTCGGAAAAATACAAGAACTTGTCTGATGCTGAGAGGGCACGGACATCCGAAGCTTTACTAGCAAAGTTGCAAAAGCAGCAAGGCTTTTTTACTAAGCTTCACACATCCAGGGATGCAGCAACCAGGACCAGCTTTGTGATATCCCACAAAATAGCTAAAAACAGCGAACCGTGACCAGGAGGATCGAGGACATTGCGGGGAACCTGGAGCTTCAGCTGCAACGTGAAGTGGCAAGTTTTGACTTTTTCTCATCCGGGCGTACACTGTGCGACTTTTTCACTTTTTTGAGCCGATTTTCCAGTCGTGCGAGAAGCCACGACATCGGGGCGAGTTTTGCGCCGAGCGGTCGTGTAGTGTACAGGGGGTTACGAGAGGCGATTAACACCACGTGACCAGCCGCCGATCAGCAGTCGTGAGGTCGCAGGGACTTCTGGTGTGTTTAATATTTCGCTCGTCCCTCGTGAGGGTATCGCACTGTTGAAGCGGCGCTGCGAGCAGCTACGATCCAAAAAGTATCAGAACCGCTCACGGCGCATGCGCGCGCAATCCTGCATCAACGCCGGCCGGTCGCTCGCTATTTCCCTAATAACACACGCTGTTCGTTTTTGTTTCTACACGTTTTTTTACTCACAAAGATTGTCAAGAAAGCGTGTTTGTCGTGTTCGTGTCAAATTAAACTGATCACAAAACACAGATTCACTTTCTTTATTTCGTTTTCCTCATCCACATGCAAGATAAAGTGACAGAAATCGATGCAGATCAAAAATAGGTGTTTTTGCATTGTATTATACACCAACATGTGTTGTGCAAGTCAGTGCTAAAAATCAACCATGTTACTGATGTTGTTATTAAAATAATAAACTTCATCAGGGCGCGGGCGATGGATCACAGACAGTTTGTGGCTCTTGTGGAGGACTCCACACAGCTGTCAGATGGCTCAGCCTGGGGAAAGTGCTGAAGAGGGTTTGGGACTTGAAAGCAGAGATTCAGGATCTCTGCTGGATTTCTACTCTTCTCTTAAGGAGGATTTTCCAAACCTGAAGAGACATGCTCAGAAGATGTTGGTTCTCTTCGGCTCTACCTACATTTGTGAACAAGCATTTTCAATGATGAAGTTTACAAAATCCAGGTAAAGATCCTCTCTCACTGATGATCATTTGTCAGCTGTGCTTCGCATCTCCACCTCAGACATTCAACCTGACTTTGATGCACTCGTTAAAGCCCAGCAGAGACTAGATTTCTCTCAATGAATAAGAAAAAAATTGCTTAAAAACACAAAATAAGGTGTTTGGACCACAAATGTAGGCAACTAGCAGTGAACTGGGACACTTTTTTTAAACCTCTTTCTCAAGATCACAGTTCAGTGATTTTATTTTACAGACGATACTGTGTGTCTGTAGAATGCTAAGAACCTCTTTCCAACAATATTTGAAACTCAGAATGTGTTTTGGAGTGAATGTGATTGAAACTGTTAACTAATATAAGTCACAAATGTTTAACAAAAACCAAATGTGCACACTTTGTTTACCATTGCCTTGGGAAATTTGAATAAATCACATTTTTGTAAGCCAACCTCACTTTTTCCTTTTTGCTCATTTATAACATATAGTCTACTCTTACAGCTTGAAGAAACAATGGTATTTACTGCCTTTTTTAAAGAAATACCATTAATATTATGCATAATTGACTTCAGCCTTTTGGCCTGCGGCCCTCCACAATATTTTCTATTTCTCATGTGGCCCCATGGAAAAAATAATTGCCCACCCCTGCTGTACACCAACAGCTGCACCTCCAAACATGAGTCTGTAAAACTAATTAAGTTTGCTGACGACACCACCATCATCTGACTCATCTCTGATGGGGATGAGTCCGCTTACAGAATGGAGGCTGAACGGCTGGTGTCCTGGTGCAGCCACAACAACATGGTGCTAGACACCCAGAAGACAGCGGAGGTTGTGGACTTTAGGCAACCCCACCCCCAAACCTGTCTGACACTCCCATCACGATGGTGGACTCATGTCGCTTCCTGGGCACCACCATCACCCAGGACCTCAAATGGGAGCCCACCATCACCACCATCAGAAAAAAGGCCCAGCAGAGGATGTACTTCCTGAGGCGGCTGAAGAAATTCAACCTATCACCACAATCGATGAGGCATTTCTACACTGCTATCAGCGAGTCCATCCTCACCTCCTCCATCACCGTGTGGTACGCTAGAGCTACCACCAGGGACAAGAAGTGGCTGCAGAGTGTCATGTGCTCTGCAGAGAAGGTCATTGGCTGCAAACTCCCCTCCATACAGGATCTGTACACCTCTAGAACATTGAGGCGTGCAGGTCGGATAATAGCTGACTCGTGTCACCCTGGACACAGTCTCTTCGACTCGCTCCCATCTGGCAGAAGGCTCAGATCCATTCGGACCAGAACCTCTCGCCACAAAAACAGTTTCTTCCCCTCTGCAGTTGGACTTTTGAACGAAAATCCTAGGGCAGCCCACTCAAGTCAATTGGTCCCAGTCACGTGACCCGAGTGCTTGAAAAACACTCAGATTAGTACCTACACGGGGTAGATAGCTGCTTCTCTAATTCTTGCCACTTTTTACATAAATTATTTTATCATGAGTACTTTATTACTTCCTATATTTGCTTATCTCTTAAATATTTATTTTTTATTTCTTTCCTTCTGCACCAAATACGGCAGCAATTTCCTAATGTTGTGACTTGGCACACATATGGCAATAAAACCCTCTGATTCTGATTCTGATAAAGACCAGGCAGGGAGATATTCTATATTTAGATAGAGTATCACAGCTTATTGGTCATAAGTAGAGGTAATATATATATTGCGCTCTTAAAGCACTCAATTGACCAAACCCTACAACATAAAAGAAATAAATAAAATGGTTTTAAATTTTTGAAGTTGAATAATTCAACAACAGCCAGTCATTTGAAGATCCTTTTCCAGCATCTCTAGGTCTTCAGCGTACTGATTAGGTGATAGTTGACACAACAGAAAGCAGATTCCCATTCAGATACTCATGACAGTGATATATCGGCTCAGTCAAGATGAAGGCAGCTACTACTGTACAGCAGCTGCATCAGTAACACATTTGACACTTAACCAGTCAAAGCAGGGCTGCAGAGGAAGGACCAACTTCTTTTTATCCCCTTCATTTTAATATCAGTTAACACCTACAGAAGTGAACATTCAGCATTTGGACTCCAAAATTATTAGGTTTTACAAAAAAAAAATAAAGTTTTAAGTGATTTAGTCATGTGACCATCCTGCTCTGTACCACAATAAGAAATGCTTTACATCTCATTGCTCCAGGGCAGAGATCTGAAACCAGTCCATGCATAGTCATCGTCGTCATCATCATCATCACCAACACCACTTTCACCATCAAAGATCGTTACATACCTAGCGTCTAAGCAATAAAAGTGTAAATGTCAGGTGATGTCAGCAGCTTCAAGAAAGTTTTAAGAATGACTTTTTTTTAACCTGAGTTTCTGACTGGGTTGTGACTGTTGGTGACAAACTGTAAACGGCTTCACTGAGTTTCCAAAATGTCTCAAATCATTTGCAAGAGTTCTCAAATTCCTTGCATACTTAGGGTGTCACTCTCAAATCACTGAAGTTTGAAAATGTCTCCAATATGTTTGAGCCAAACTTCCTCACTAAATAATGACTGATTCTTTGGGGCAAGAAATGTGAGAAACCTTTGAAACCGCTCTTCGTGACTAAACTGTATCAAAAAAAAACTTTGCATGACCGTCACAATGTATTTGTAATTACCATGCGACTTGGTCAGGCATAGGACTTTTGATAAAAGTGCGGTGTACGTTATTCAAAGTGGTTACAAAAGATTGAGCCCAACAAGCAGTGTTGGGCAAGTTACTTCAAAACTGTATTGCATTACTTATTACTTGTTTCCCTCATTTAAAAGTAATTCATTACATTACAATCTTACTGATTTTAAAATGTAAGGCATTACACTACTTTTGCAGTACTTTAAGTTACTTTCACCAAAACAACTTCAGTATGAATCTGGTAATCTGACGCTCAGTGAACTCATGACACATCCAGAGGAAGGTGATGTGGTGTCTGAGCTAGGATTGCTGTTAAAAACAGTCAGATATAATAACAGTGCTTTCAAATGATTGTTTATTAAATAAAAGCAACAACAATCTGTACTCTCAGCACGCTGCCATCTTGTATTAACTGAGCAGGGAGTGAGGTGGTGGGGGCTCCAAGCATATATTTGCCTTGGTCCTCAAATGCCTTGATACGGCCCTGGATGTGGGACTGACTTCTGGGGTGATCTGATTCTATCACATGTATAAATATTAAATTCTTATATATTATTTCTTTTCACTGGTAAAACTGTGTATTGGGGATGAATCTACCTACTTTTTTCTTTTCAAGCACTTTGTTTTGTTTTCTTGATTCTATGTGAATAATTTCCTGCCCTTTCTCTCTCTAACCTTCCTGCATGCTTCATGTTTTCTCCGCCTTCCAGAAAAACTGTTTCCTAGATTTTCTACTTTCTAACTAATCAGCCAAAGGGATCTACCGAACGCAAACATAAAAAAAATCTTAATATGCGCTCCAGCAGCAATGAGTTGAAATCCCTGGGGCACAGATTATGAACCAGCTGAAAAGTACATGAAGTACCAGAGAATATGAGCTGATATAAACGATCACAAACGAATTACTTTGTTTTGGTGGAGCGATTTTGTGAATACAACAGCGGCCGCGCGCAGGACGCAGCTGGAGTATTTGAGCCATTACCGCTGCGTCCTCTCTGCTCGTAGAATGCCCGCAAAGCTGAGTCCATAAATGACGTCATATATGTGGATACTGGATCTTTTTTCAGGCTTCCCGCAATTTGAATTTTTAGGAAACCCACGTCTTGATTCTGGGTTTAAAAATGCGTTGTAATTACCGCGTTACTGACAATTGTACCGAGTAAATATTACCTTTTCTTTCCCTGTAATGCCTTACATTACCACATTACAGCAAAAAGCAATGCATTACAGTAATTAATTACTTTTGTACCGCGTTACTCCCAACACTGCCAACAAGTCACCAACAGTATATCAGGTTTTAACTTCAGAAGTCCGTTCAGTCAGCTACACTCTAAGAAAAGAAATGTTGAATTTACCTGAATGAGCTATGTCAACTGGTCCCACTAAAACTAGCTGCTTAAAGTAAGTAAAGTAATACATTTACTTTTAGCATAACATATAACTATGTATATTACTCTTTAAATTTAAGCAACTACATTTATTGAAATCAGTTGGCATAACATGTTTTTTCAACATTTCATTTTGTGTTTTTATTTAGATAATTCATCATTAAAAAACTCAAACTGTTCAAGTAGACGTGACGTACAGACTAAGTAGCTTTACAGTTTTAAACCCAACTACAGCAGCTCAGCAGAATCTGTCTTGTTAGTTCTATGTGAAATTATTAGTTAGTCCCCTTCAAACTTTCAAGTAAACAAAAACAAAATAACAGTAAAAACAAGTGGTCAAGTCAATGCTGCTCTATTAAACGGTGATTCTGCAGACTTTTTCACATCTTTCTAGTTTCTAGCCAGTGACAAAGACAATGCGTCACAGTAACCAGCTCCAGATATTTAAAGTGTGTTAAAAAAACAAAAAGATTAATTTAGAAAATAAAATCCCTCATGAAGCTTTTCTTCTGTGTTGTGTGGCATCGGGACATTAGAGGCAGACTCTGGTCAGTTTGTGGGGTTGAACACTCATTATTGGAAGCATAAAATGAACGAACAACTATGTATTTTACAGATAGTGGAAGGTTTTCACATTATGGTCAAAACAATAAAAAATAAACACATTTATGGCGGCTTTAACTGCTCCAGCAGGTCGAAGGAAGTCAGAGACTTAAACGACGTCGGAGCTGTTCATCAGTTAGTTCACATGAGAGAGTCTGGGTCGAAGCAGTGAAGAGCGCTTCATTAAAAAAAAAGTTTCCACTTCAGTTTGTGTTGACAGCAGAGCAGAATGACGAGAAAAGTCGTAACAAGCAGCATCCCAGATGTTTCATGGACCTTCACAACAGATCCTTTTGGATACAATCACAGTCAGGACCGCTTCTCCTACCTTCCAATGACCTTAAAATTAGCTGAACTTGGAGCAGGGGGGAAACAAGCGGAGCTCTGTGGGCACTGAAACTAATTCAGGTGGTCACATCCACACTTTATTTACAATAATTTAAAAAGACAGCTGTCCTCTATGTGGACACTAAACGCTAAATGTTGCTGATTAGCCGGGGCACCGGGGTTCCTAATGAAGTGACAACTCAGCCAAGTTTCCTTTTCCTGTTGAATGAGCCTCACAGAGCAGTAAAGGATCTGAACATTGGGTCTGTGGGTCAAACGTATGAGTTCAATAATCCAGCCTGATATGGGTGTATGGTTTTACAGTAAGACTCGGTCCAGGATCTTCTGAGAAGTGTTCTCCACCATGAGGACATAAATAACTTCTGTACATCTAGTTCTCCACCCAGAACACTAAACGTGTTTTACCTACTGAATCTGAGATAGAGACCACAGAAAAACCATCTTTGTCCCATTTTCAGTCCTCTTTGGGGGGTGGGTCATCTCATCAAGAAAACAACACACAGCGTATGGATCAAAGAAAGGTTCGGTGTGCCTGGCAGTCAGAGTCGTAGTGTAGTGTTCGCCACAGCTTGTGCAACCAACAAGAAAACATCCCCCTTAATCTTGCTCAGGGAGTTTTGGGATCATTTCCCCTGGATGAGATCGCAACTGGAAAAGAGATGAGACCGGATCAGCTTGTATGGCTCCATCACCACAGAGCAAATACTCAGGGCTCCTCTTCCTCACATCCGTTGTCATAACCTCAGGTCTCTTTCCTACCAGGTCGGCTGTGAGTGTGTGTATGTGTATTGCAGACTGTGCATGTACATTAGGAATTACTTGAGCTGTGGGCTTCATGTCTATGTTTCTGGATGTCAGTCACTAGTGGTGGGTTGCAGGTCATGCATTAGACATCTCTGCCTTGCTGAGTGCGATGGCCAGCTCCAGATCTTCTTGTTCCTGCTGCCGGAGTCTCTTGAGTCGTTCACGCTCTGCCCGTTCACTCTCACGCTTGGCCCACTCCAACTGTTGAGCCTCATTTCCAAACTGGAGAAACAGAAAGATAAGTGAGAAGCCCTTCTCAGATGTGGAACTGGTATCTCTGTTGGCACTAATTCACTAAGGTGTTTACCAGTCAGCGCTGTATTGGCTTGATTTAAATAAAACCCAACCTGACCTACACAAGAGGGAGCACAGAGGTTTAGGTCAATTCAGTTTAGTTTATTTTCATTTTCACCCTAGACTGAGTAAAGACCGGTGGCGCCAGTGCTCAGCAGCCTCGCCTCTGTCAGTGCGCCCCAGAGCAGCTGTGGCAACATCGTCGCTCATCCCCACCATCGTGTGAATGTGTGTGTGAATGACTGGTTGTGTTGTAAAGCGCCTTGGGGGGTTCCAGGACCCTACAATCACCTTTTAATCACCTGAGACAACTCTGTCCTCAGCTTTCTGTGGTCCATGCTCGGTGTGGTACACACCCTGACACCAAACAGCACAGTGACTACTTCTGTCCATTTAAACTGGATGATTCTCCGATTACCACACAGAAGTCACCTGGTTTGTTGTTTAGTTGGATGTGCTCACATTGCTTTACATCTTTTAAAGAGGAACATTCTGTCATGGTCTGCGTCTGCCCCTTCTTTCATGTGCCTCCTGGTGTTTCTCCATCCTCTCTAGGTGCTCCTTCTGTGTCCTAGCGCCCTCATGTGTCATGTCTGCGTCTTCCTCATGTGTCTTCTGGTTTTCCCCATATGCTCCTAGATCTCCAGCCCTCTAGGTTTCTCAAGCCATTTCCTTTAGTTACAGCCTTTCATGATTTAGTATGTTTTTTCCCATCAGTGTTTATTATTTTTCTCCCCCCTCCCTTTGAATTCATGCTCTTTTGTATGAGGTTTTATTTTTAGGTCAAGTTAGTTTCTCCCCTGATTAGTTATTGCCTTCACCTGGTCCTCCTCCCACACCCCACACACCTGCAGCTCATCTCCCTCTCATCCTCCCTGTGTACTGTCTTGTCTCAGTGTCTTGTTGGTCCATTGTTTGCATCTCTGTCATGTCTTCTAGTGCCCCTCGTGTTTGGATTTAGTCTTCTCGTGCCTTTGAATATTTGGATACCCAGATCTTCATCTGGATTTTTGGACTTTGGTTCCCAGCCTTCTTTGGATTAATTTGTTTTTGATCATCCCAAAAATAAAGGATTTATTTTATTTATTCAACTTCTGCCTCGTGTCATCCTGGGTTTCTGCATTTTGGGTCCTCCAACATCTCAACCTGACACATTCCTTTTAGTCTAGATCAGCTTCATTTTTATATTCTGTTGAAGCACAATTTAAAAGGACCATACCTTTTTATTAGTTGATTTTTAGTGAATTATAATTTAGTCAAATGTTTTCATACAGTTTGTATACAATCATCATTTAGAATAACAATTTGTATTAACTTCAGCTGTCTGATACTGAAATTTATTTGAATCTGAAACATTTTTCAAAATGCACTGTCCAAAAAAAGCTAACGCTACAGAAGCTTATATTGGAGGCCAAAAGTGTTTTCAAGCATCAAATTCATCATGAAAATCAACAAAATACCTTTTGACAACATTTCAAAACAGTTTGTATGAACTTATGTGAAGAGTTTCTTACCTTGACTTTTTCAGGTCCTGTCAGAGAGGTAGATTACAAAACAGAGACAAAAATCAGAGATGAGTCAGATCAACACAGCACGCATGCACATAGACCTTGTCCTACCCTGCATAACTCTGGCACCAAAAACCAAACCAAGTTGTTTATCAAACTCAACAGTAGTATTAATGTGTCCTACGAGGATAAAAACTATATCAGATGGAATTTCCGTCAAACAAACTGTCATGCTGGCTTTAATTGGACTGAATATTCAGTGTCAACACATGCTTCTGGAATTTAGCTTGTTGGACTTGTACCACGCTCACGTGTGTGTTCACTAACATACATGGGTTTTAATTAGGGATGTGTACCTTTGACATTTGAATCGATTCGGTGCTAATTCCCGGTACCTAGGAATCGATACCGGTACTTAACGGTACCAGTTTTCGATACTTTTGAGTGTTTATCATTTTAATTCTCTTTTATAATGAAATATATATTTTTCTCAATTTATAACAATATTTGATAAATATCACGATAAATAACATTCAGCTGCTTGTATTTTAACATCGTCCTTGTAGTTTTATAAGCTGATAATTAAACTGAAGCAAACATCTTTACTGTGAACTAAATTTACTGTGTATCTTCATTCTTTTTGCCGTCTTATTTGCATTAGATTTTTCCTACTGGGAAGTTAGAATTTCCGAGGAGAAAGCGAACGCACCATTAACTGATAACAATGGTAGCAATGGAAGCTAACATATCAAGCTAACGTTATCTTAAACAGTTTATTTAGCTGCTGGAGCAGATTAAAACGATGATGCCTCACACTTAGATCGTTGTCGCTGGTTTCTTCTTCACCCAATCACCCGTCGCATTTAGTAAAGTGAAGCCAAACTTTAGAGCGCGTTCATGTTCTTCTAGTCGGAAATTCGGAGTTCCGAGGAGAAAGCGAACGCACCATTAGCGAAACGGAAGCTAACATATCAAGCTAACGTTATCTTAAACATTTTATTTACCTACCGGAGGAGATTAAGATGAGGATGTCTCACTTAGATCGTTGTCGCTGGTTTCATCATCACCCAGTTACCCATCACATTTAGTGAAGTGGACCCAAGCTTTAGCGTGCGTTCTTTCTACCATGCTGCTCTGTTTACAACTGGCTCGCAGTGAGCGACGACATAACGCTCTTGCACATGCGCATCTTTCTTGGCAAGTTCTCGTTATGAAGGACGGGTACCGAAACGAGGCACCGTTTGAAATGACGTGAATCGGTGCTCGGTCGGTACTATGGAATTCGGTCGGTACCTTAAAAAGTACCGAATTCGGAACCCATCCCTAGTTTTAATGGTATACAGTTCAACAGTATCACCAGGCTCCACTTACATAACTAATGTCTAAAAAAAGCTGAGGTAGAGGCTTTAGGAGCTTTACTTGATGCTGAAGATGGGGCGAAGGGGTCTTTTCCACTAAATGGATCTCCCGGGCCTTTTTTACTCTGAAATGGGTCAATGACATCAGAGGTGAATGACTGAAAGGGGTCACATGGTTTGGAGGAATCTGCTGGGCCAGTCAAGTTCACTGGTGTTGTTTTACCTGAAATCAAAGGCAAGAAAAAACTGTCAACTTTGACATAATTAGCAATGAACCAGACACGCCAAGAGCACAGCCCACAAACCACAGAAAAAAACCTGTGAAGACCAGAATGCACCACACCCATCGTGCCACTCATGCCTTACAAGCATTACTCCTCCCAGTGAGAGTTATCAATCATTAGTCTGTACAAAAATACTGATGATTGATTTATTTGTAACCTAAAGTCTTAAAACTGGGATTATAGGCTTGCATTTAAATGTAAAAGCACTTGCAATTTCATTTTAAAAAACTATTATTGTCTAGTCAAGTGGTCTGATTAAGATGAAAATCCATAGAAAGCTTTTATAAAGAAAACATTGTTTTGTTACTTTTATACGGAAGAGTATTAGGGCCACTTAACAGAAAAAAAGAGAATTTCTGACTTTTTTCAGAATTTTGACTTTAATCTCAGAATTACAACTTTAATAATCCTGAGAAGAAAAGTCAGAACTCTGACAAAAAAGTAAGAGAATAAAGTTAGAATTCTGAGAAAAACGTCACATTCTGAGATTTAAGAAAAAATGTAGAATTCTCTTTCTTTTCTGTTCAGTGGTCTTAATCCTCTTCCGTATCTTTAACATCTACTTGAGTAGATTTTTGCAATAGTAACTTTATTTGTGCTTGAGTAACATTTTATCAGAGTAACAACTTTTCCCTGAGAATCTTTTTCGGTGCTCATTGCCTCGTTTACAGACGTTTCAGGAGAAACCCTTCACACCTTGATTTGATTTAGCTTCCGCAGCTGCACACAGGCTGACCTCAGACCAGGTATTGGCCACAGGACACGAACTTGTATAGCTCCTAATCTTGTTTAGTAACAGGAGCTTCAAAGAGGAAACAGTTTAATTTTGAAATAAAAACATTGTACTCCTTTTTTCCCCAATAAAATCAATGGAAATACTGGGTCTTTATTCTTAATTTCAGTGTTCATTATGACAGCCCTACAGATTTCAGATTTTCAGATTTATTGGCCAAGTAAAATTACATTTACAAGGAATTTAGCTTCGGTAGATGTTCGCTCTCTAAAACATACAACTACAATGAATGAGAATAAAAATACATACATAAAAAACACATAAGAACATGTATACCCACACACATGTTCATTTATACACACACATATATACATATATGCATACACGTACACACACATATATACATATATGCATACACGTACACACACACACACACACACTCATATCCATAAGCACAAAAGTATTTAGTCAGAGAGAAACCTTCAAAAAAGTCTACCACCTAAAACTAGATGGGTGAGAATCTACTCCAGCACACTCACCACTGGGTGGTTTGGGCCGTGGAGGGACACACTTTTTTGGAGGCAGAGCCGGCATATCACCTTTCCTGCTGAATGGGTCGTCCACAAACACTGCCTAGGGGACAAAACCATCACGAAGACAACAGTTAAGAGTCTGTGCTAATTTTGTTGATGAAAGATTTTCTTTTGTTTTTCCAAGACAAAAGCATTTTTGCAGACTAAAACAAAACGGAAACTAAAATATTTAAGTCTCTAAAGACTACATTATGACAAATATTGATCAACATTTTCGTAGACAAATAAAAGACAGCAATAAAAATTGACAGAAACAAATCTGAAAACGTAAACAATGGGAGAACGGGAAAAGAACCAATCAGCAAATGGAACATGCAGGACTAGACGAGAAAAACTCCAATCGCAGTCTGGAGCCAGCCACTGTTTGAACAAGCTACCGGTAACCACAGACATACATGCATCTGGTGGTTTAATCGGTTTTGTGGCGCTGCTACAGTCGATAACATCAGCGTTCTATGTTGTAGTGGTGTTTTTATGAGAAAAAAACCTTCAGGCAGCTCGCTTTAATAAATAAACCTGACAACAAATCTTAACTTTAGTTTACAAATACAGATTTGTTTGCTTTATTAATATTGAGAGACTGTATCAAACAGTCAGTTTTCATTTAGGTATTTTCCAATAATTATTGTTATTAAAACAATTATAAATACAGTTTTATTGATCCTAAGTGTGAAATGTGAATTTTTTATTTCCTTTACAGAAGCTGAAAATTATTGCATCAGAAGAAACATGCATACATTTTAGTCAACTAAAATAAGATTATAATTAAAATTAAGCAACTAAACTGTGACTAAAATTTAAAAGAATTTTAGTCAAAAGACTAAGACTAAAACTACATTTATTGTCCAAATTAACACAGGTAAGAGTGAAACAGTGATAGGAGTTATTTTACAGGCAACAGCCTCGGTCTCTCTGATTTAGTCCTCTTAAGCAGGGCGTACACTGTGCGACTTTTTCACTTTTTTGAGCCGATTTTCCACTCGTGCGAGAATCCACGAGATCGGGGCGAGTTTTGCGCCGAGCGTGGTGTAGTGTACAGGGGGTTACGAGAGGCGATTAACACCACGTGACCAGCTGCCGATCAGCAGTCGTGAGGTCGCACGGACTTCTGGCGTGTTTAAAATTTCGCTCGTCCCTCATGAGGGTATCGCACTGTTGAAGCGGCGCTGCGAGCAGCTGCGACCCAAAAAGTACCTGAACCGCTCACGGCGCATGCGCAATCCTGCATCAACGCCGCTCGCTATTTCCCTAATAACACACGCTGTTCATTTTACTTTCTACACGTTTTTTTACTCACAAAGATTGTCAAGAAAGCGTGTTTGTCGTGTTCATGTCAAATTAAACTGATAACAAAACACAGATTTACTTTCTTTATTTCGTTTCCTCATCCAACCCCCATAAATCCCTGTGTGTCCTCCTGCAGCACTCCCGAAGGTCAACAGGCAAAACAAAAAAGTCTGACGTGTTGAGTAAAAACTGCTATTTCTAGCATATTTTTAGGGCCGACGTGTTGCTACCAGACGTACAGTGTGAGCGGTCAGGTCGCATGCGAGAACTGGGTCGTACAGTGTGAGCCCATGACTCGTGAGATCTGCTCTGCGAGGAAGTCGTACAGTTTGAGCTGAAGCTGAGTGCTACGAGTGAAAAAGTCGCACAGTGTACGCCCGGCTTAAGTGTGCTGTGTACCCTCAATGAAGCTCTGACTGTGAGAATAGTAGTTTGGGTTTCTTTTAATACTCTGTACTTCCCCACAGTGCCTTCAGCTCATGGTTTGGACCCCAGCACAATACCTTCTGGTAGTCTGGCAACCAGCTGGCCCTTCCTTCAAAAGAGTCTTTCGGCTTTGACATGTGACTGAAGTCTGCAAACCCAGTCGATGAGTTCACGCTGCTGAATGAGCTGCTCCCAAATGGGTCTAATGGGCTGAACAAGTCTGAAATACACGTGTCACAGTTTATTTCTGTTCACATACGTCATGTAAATGATGACCTTAGCTAAAGTTACTGGGCCCATTTGATCACAGATTTTGTTTTAATTATCACATTACACAAGTTAACATACCCAGTGTGTGTCTGCAGGTCATGGAGTTAATAAATGTTCATGAATTACAGAGAAAAATTCTGCAAAAATCTGTTCTTAATACTCCTGTCAAATTTTAAACGCCGAGTGTGTGCCTAACTTATTTCAATAGACGTTTGGAGTAGAGCCCATCTCTCTCTCTCTCCCTGTCTGTCTCTCTCTCTCTCCCTGTCTCCCTGTCTCTCTCTCTCTCTCTCTCTCTCTCCCTGTCTCTCTCTCTCTCTCTCTCCCTGTCTCCCTCTCTCTCTCTCTCTCTCTCTCTCTCCCTGTCTCCCTCTCTCTCCCTGTCTCTCTCTCTCTCCCTGTCTCCCTCTCTCTCTCTCTCCCCCTGTCTCCCTCTCTCTCCCTCTCTCTCTCTCTCTCTCTCTCTCCCCCTGTCTCCCTCTCTCCCCCTGTCTCTCTCTCTCTCTCTCTCTCTCTCTCTCTCTCTCTCTCCCTGTCTCCCTCTCTCTCCCTGTCTCCCTGTCTCTCTCTCTCTCTCTCTCTCTCCCTGTCTCTCTCTCTCTTTCTCCCTGTCTCCCTGTCTCCCTCTCTCTCTCTCTCTCTCTCTCTCTCTCTCCCTGTCTCCCTCTCTCTCCCTGTCTCTCTCTCTCTCCCTGTCTCCCTCTCTCTCTCTCTCTCCCTGTCTCCCTCTCTCTCCCTCTCTCTCTCTCTCTCTCCCCCTGTCTCCCTCTCTCCCCCTGTCTCTCTCTCTCTCTCTCTCTCTCTCTCTCTCCCTGTCTCCCTCTCTCTCTCCCTGTCTCCCTGTCTCTCTCTCTCTCTCCCTCTCTCTCTCTCCCTGTCTCCCTCTCTCTCTCTCCCTGTCTCCCTGTCTCTCTCTCTCTCCCCGTCTCTCTCTCTCTCTCTCTCTCCCTGTCTCCCTCTCTCTCTCTCCCTGTCTCCCTCTCTCTCTCTCCCTGTCTCCCTCTCTCTCTCTCCCTGTCTCCCTCTCTCTCTCCCTCTCTCTCTTTCTCACACACACACACACACACACACACACACACACACACACACACACACACACACACACACACACACACACACACACACACACACACACACACACACACACACACACACACACACACACACACACACACACACACACACTGCAGTAACTGTGATACATTTCAAAGAAAACCCTACCAGGTGCTCTGGATTTTGGGTGGCTTGAAGAAAACGGGTCAGTGCCTGTAAAATAACTGGTTTGCTGTAGAAGATAAAAGCCTCGATTAGTTTCAACATCACAGCCACATTTCCCAAAGCATTCAAGTGTCGTATAAAGTTAGGCATAGAACATCTAACACCATAATAAGCATGCTTCCCATCTCTTCACCAGCTTAACATCCCATAGCATGGTCGCGTGTCGTACCTTGGAAGGTAAAGTGGCACTTTTACTGAAGGGGTCTTGTGTGGAGAAAGGGTCCACCTTTGTGGTCTTTTTGAAGAAATCTTCTGATGACGCCTTGAATAAATCAGTCTCTTTGAATGGATCCCCTCCAAATGGATCTGAAGCAGAAATGATGTACATTATTGTTTCTTAACCCCTGTGGTACACATTTGACACAGTCAGTCTTTTTTCCTACAGGGTGAGATGTAATTAACTCAAATCTCTGGGATAAAAATCTTCGGTATTTTAATGTTAATAGTTTAAACAATTGATTTGGATTTGAATAAATAAATTGGGGACTATTTGGTTCTTGTGTTATTTCTAAAAGGCTGTCACAGCACCATTAAACCATATTCATTGATATATTTTCTTGACTGATACCTCCAAATTGGGATTAGGTGTAGTTCTAAGTTAACAAACGGTTTAATGTTTTAATTCCATGCTGTCGTTCTTTTTAAAACACAGAAACAGTTTTGTTTACCTGTTTTGTCGCTACGTTTCGCCGGCGGCTGCAGGCTTCTTCAGGCTGATGCTGATCCATCAGCATCGCCGGCGAAACGTAGCGACAAAACAGGTAAACAAAACTGTTTCTGTGTTTTAAAAAGAACGACAGCATGGAATTAGAATCACGACACAGCAAGAGCACACCTAAGAAGTTTAATGTTTTTTTTAAACAGCTTCATTAACTATTAATTGGCTTCAGAAATGCATTATCCTTCGCTAATAACTACGCTAACTCCTTCGTATCCATAGCATACCTGCAGATGATGATGATGGTGGCTTTGCAAAGGGATCACTTAAAAATGGATCACCTATATGTGAGAAATTCTGTCAAGTAGTGCACAATTCCAGGAAAAAAGTGTAATAAATATAAGGCTTTCTGTGCGCTTTTCAGCAGCAAATGGCTGAATCAGGTGCCCTGCAGAGAGACAACAAACCTACAACAAAAGGAAGGGCTGGAGATCACTGATCACCTTTTGGCTTTTATTAAACAGCCTAAACCATTAAGATAATGACCCAAAAGTCAGCTACATTTCCTGAATACTGCCTCATTAGGGCACTCCAGGTCCTCCATAATGGAAAAGGCTGGTTAAAGGAGGTAAGAGGTGGTGACATTCTCAATGTACTGTTCAGTAGAAAAGGCTCACTTTAAATAATGTGAAACACTTTGGTGTCAAAGAGCAGAATTTCTCCCATCTTTCATGAGTTAAATGTCATGTATCCATTTCTGTTGATTTTGTTCTTTTTTTTTAGACTCGTAACATGTTTCTGAAAGAATGTCACATTTGTCTTATGCTTAATTTCCCTCTCTTATCTTGAGATAAGTGAAAATTGATTTTATTGTGTAAGGGTAAGAGGTCGTTAAGCTCCACCTTTCCATGGACAGAGCAAAAAGCCTCAAATTTGACTAAGAGCCCATTTAAACCAGCCCAGTGGCCTAGTGGTAGGAGTGTCTGCTCTGAGACTGGGAGATAGTGGATTCAATTCTACGGTCGGGTCATACCAAGGACTAAAAATAGGACCCAAAATAGGACCCAATGCCTAACAGCTTGACACTCGGGTTCGATTGGGGGATAAACCACCAACGTTCCTGCTCTGCATACTCATCTTTAAAAGTATTTTGGAAGCGATCAGTGAGCTCCAACCTTCCCATTTCATTTAGCACATATAAGTTGTTTGAAAGAAAAAAAATCTTAGAGGTATGGAGTATCAAACACAGAGAAATGCAGAAAACAATCCAAAGGAAGAAGATCACAACCTTTGAATGGATCCGTTTGAAAAGGATCTTCAGAATGAAAAGGGTCTGCCTGGGGCTCTTGAGGCTGACTGTTGAACACTGATGGTTTCACCTTAAATGGATCTTCCTGTAGAATAAAGACAGAGAGATGATTTTTTTTCATTCCCTAACTACACTTTGTTTTAAAATATATTCAGTTGCTCACTCACTCAGGGCTACATGCCAAAGGACACTTCAACATGCAGTGAGGAAGAATTAACTGAATCACCAAAGTGAGTGAGTGAGTGAGTGAGTGAGAGAGAGAGAGAGAGAGGAGAGAGAGAGAGAGAGAGGAGAGAGAGGAGAGAGAGAGAGAGAGAGAGAGAGAGAGAGAGAGACTTGACTTTTAAATTATTTATTTTTCTTTGCAAATCAACAGCATCAGCATCAGTCCAGCATCTGGTTTTTCCTGGTTTTCCAGATGACTAGTTTTGCACATGCAAATAAAAAGTTAATTAACAATATTGTCTGTTTTTTTCTGACACTGTACTTGGGCCCAAAAACAAACAAGCGTAGGGTAAAAGCCTCCCCCAGTGCACTAACCCACAGTTCTAAAACCTTAAACATCCCTGATAACCTGGAACATGCTACCACTAGATGCTCTAGGGTCTGTGTTTGGTTACAGAAAGGACATCCCTCGCCGGTGCTTGGATCAAATATATGTATTTATAAATTAAAATTTCTAAATATAATCAAAATTTCTAAATAAAGAGCAAATATAAGAAGACACATCTGTAAAACTGATGTGATGCATTCCTATAGGGAGCCTAAGTCACGCCGATCTACGTCCGCATCATGGGTCCCCGGAAGAACGAAAAAATGAATGCAAGTCAATGGAGCTATAAATTCTATTTTCTAATTCTGCTTGTTATGTTCCATGGATTTCACATATGATGTCCATGAATTTTAAAGACACATTTTGGTACCAGGAATGCGCTTATTTTCTAACGGGGGGAACGCAATTTTAGGTTTTGTGTGAAAAGAAGTCCAGGACTACAAATGCGCTTCACGAAGGTGACATCATCGAAGCAGACACGGAGAAAACTGAGGGAAAAGGGCTGTAAGTTCTGCAAACTACCCACAGGAGGAAAGAACCACCATAAATCTGATCATTTAGTAAGTAGCAGCTACTTTGGGGAGAATAGATTATGTGGTGACGTCACATATGCGACGTGCTGATTTCTGATGTGTAGTCATGCCAATTACGAACTTTTACAAACTAATAAATCTCAAAGTACGTGACTGGCGTGGCCGAAACACCCATCATTACTTTTCACTTAAATTGCAGTACAACATACAGTGGGGAATATAAGTATTTGAACACCTTGCGATTTTGCAAGTTCTCCCACTTAGAAATCATGGAGGGGTCTGAAATTCACATTGTAGGTGCATTCCCAATGTGAGAGACAGAATGTAAAAAAAATAAATAAATAAATCAGGAAATCACGTATGATTTGTAAATAATTTATTTGTTTTGCACTGCTGCACATAAGTATTTGAACACCTGAGAAAATCAGTATTAATATTTGGTACAGAAGCCTTTGTTAGCAGTTGCAGAGATCAAACGTTTCCTGTAGTTCTTGACCAGGTTTGCACATACTACAACAGGGATTTTGGGCCACTCTTCCACACAGATCTTCTCTAGATCTTTCAGGTTCTGGGGCTGGTGCTGAGCAACACAGAGTTTCAGCTCCCTCCAAAGATTTTCGATTGGATTTAGGTCTGGAGACTGGCTGGGCCACTCCAGAACCTTGAATTACTTCTTACGGAGCCACTCCTTGGTTATCCTGGCTGGTTGTCATGTTGGAAGACCCAGCCACGACCCATCTTCAATGCTCTGACTGAGGGAAGGAGGTTGTTGCTCAAAATGTCACAATACATGGCCCCATTCATCCTCTCCTTAATACAGTGCAGTCGTCCAGTCCCCTTCGCAGAAAAGCACCCCCAAAGCATGATGTTTCCACCCCCATGCTTCACAGTAGAGAAGGTGTTCTTTGGATGCAACTCCTCCTCCTTTTTCCTCCAAACACCACGAGTGAAGTTTAGACCAAAAAGTTCTACTTTGGTCTCATCTGACCACGTGACTTTCTCCCATGCCTCCTCTGGATCATCCAGATGGTCACTGGCAAACTGCAGACGGGCCTGGACATATGATGACTTGCGCAGGGAAACCTTTTGTGCAACGCGTGATTTGAAACCATGACGGCATAGTGTTCTACCAACAGTGACCTTTGAAACTGTGGTCCCAGCTCTCTTCAAGTTATTGACCAGCTCCTCCCGTGTAGTTCTGGGCTGATTCCTCACCTTTCTTATCATCAGTGATACCCCACGAGATGAGATCTTGCATGGAGCCCCAGTCCGAGGGAGACTGACAGTCGTCTTTAGCCTCTTCCATTTTCTGACAATTGCTCCAACAGTTGATCTATTTTCACTAAGCTGCTTGGTAATTTCCCCGTAGCCCTTTCCAGTCTTGTGGAGGTCCACAATTTTGTTTCTGGTTTCTTTTGACAGCTCCTTGGTCTTGCCCATGGTAGCAGTTGGAGTCTGACTGGCTGTGGGGTGGATAGGTGTCTTTAAAGAGCTCAGACAGGTGCTACTAATTAAGATTACTAAGTGGAGTAGAGGTGGACTTCTTAAAGGCAGAGTAACAGGTCTTTGAGAGCCAGAATTCTTGCTGATTGCCAGGTGATCAAATACTTATGTCCAGCAGTGCAAAATAAATAAATTCTTTACAAATCATAAAATGTGAGTTCCTGATTGTTTTTTTTTTTTACATTCTGTCTCTCACAGTGGGAATGCACCTACAATGTGAATTTCAGACCCCTCCATGATTTCTAAGTGGGAGAACTTGCAAAAGCTGAAGGTGTTCAAATACTTATGTTCCTCACTGTATGTGTGATCCAGGGTGTAAGGCTAAGCGGATTAGAAAATGGAGTTTTTAGCTCCATTTACTTCATTTTTCGTTCTTCCGGGGACCCATGAGCCGTCCGGAAAGGGAGGAGACTTAGGCTCCCTACACGGCAGCCTGATGATATCATAATATGTAAATTAGATGAGTGAATTTGCTCCCAACAAACTTCTGAAGATTTTTCTCATTTACAGTTTACCTTCATCTCTAACCATTTCAAAGCTGCAACCTTTCAAAATAGTCAAGTCAAAATTGAACATTTTCTTGAAAAAAAAAAAAAACTCTGGCACCCAAAGGGTTAACTTTGTAACCACATCCTCATAATGAAACTGTAACAAATTCACACATTCACACAGGTGTGTAACGACTTTGTGACCTGGATTGGCCTTCCCATAGTAGAGAAACCTCCATTTTCTCTGTCACTGAAGCCCTCGCTCATGTCAGCCAAGTTGGTCATACTGCCACCGTGGGTTCCATTCAGCGTGTTGTTGTACTGCTCAATGCTTTTAGACACTTCCTGCTGATTGTCCTGAATATGTGACAATTTGCTGCGGGCCTGAAAAATGTAAAACAAATGGGTACAAAACTAAGTTAAAAGTTCATTTCATTGGTGGACACTTGTGTTCAGACTCTAGTGTGGAAAGGTGGAAAGGTTCTGAGTCACTGGACTGATGAGCAGGAATTTAAGATCAGTGGGTTTTTGACTCAGTGGAAGTGAACTCACATAACCACTTAAAGCAGAAATCTGGAGTTTTTCCCCTTTCAGGAATTATGTAAAATCTGAAAAAGTGATAGTTTTACCTTGTTCTGTCATATGATTGCACTATGTCAGTTTTTTTTTTTGCTAAGCCTGTCCCCCGTCCCATCGGGCCCCATGCAATTTCAACTGACCTCCACTCAGCATTAGCCAATATCGTTAGCATCTACTTTCGTACAGATGTCAATCACAGAGCAGGTAAGTGTTTGCAGAAGTACCTAGACTGAGGCCTAGTCCACACGTAGCCGGGTTTTTTTTAAAAAACGAATATCCGCCCCTCCAAAAACTTGCATCCACACCACCGCGTTAAAAAAAAAAACTCTGTCCACACGTACCCGGATAAATACGTTGTTAAGGACATGCCAGACCTGTAGGCGGCAGTACTTCCCCCGTTCTTAACCTCGTCCTTCGTCTGTGGTCTTCCGCAAGGAGCAGTAATTCCGCTTGCAAAAACAAACAAGCAAAAAGCGCTTGGACAATTGATAAAGCGAGCGCAGCTCTGAGGGCATCCATGCTGTCGGCTAGTGTAAACACAGGTCGCACACGTGATGTCAGCATTTTTTGTCACGGAAAGTGACGTTGCGGACCTTAAAACTCCGGTTTTGTCTGTCCACACGCAGACACCCAAAACGGAGAAAACGCAGATCTTCACTTTGGCCGGAGTTTTTAAAAAGATCCACTTTCGTGTGAAAAAACTCCGTTTTCGTGTGGATGACAGGCCAAAACGTAGAAAAATATCTACGTTTTGGCAGATCCCCGGCTACGTGGGGACAGGGCGAGTGTCCTTTCTGCGTTGTTTACAAAGCTGCAAAGACATGATGAATCATGGAGTGGCTAAACCGCTTCACAGCCACAAATATACTGATTCACCAACTGCCTGCTTCCACTCAAAGGTAAAGAACACAGCTAGTCCAAACATGCCAAAAAAATATTTACCTTGGACCTGCTTTCAACGGTGGAAGGATCACCGCATTCAACTCAGATGTCAAACACATGCAAAGTTGGCGACATTTCTTATGGGCAAGTCTTTAAAAATAAATGAATAAACAGTATAACAGGAGAACAATAATAGTAACTGTAGAGGTGTGCCTTGATAAATGAGAGGGGTTGCTTCCAGCTGCATCACAGCTGCAGGGAGAGGGACTTAATAGGCAATATATTATTTCAACCTCTAGGTGGTGCCATATGAGAAAAAAAAACTCCCCATTTCTGCTTTAAGTTAAGTTTACTTGTAAAGCACTTATAAAACAGCATGGCAGCTGACCTAAGGGCTGGGCCAAGAAATTAATATACATACGAGATAAAGTCATAAAACACAAAAGTATAAGAATTAAACTCGACCCTTGAATTCCAGCCAAGGCATCAGTACAGGTGCTGGTCATAAAAATAGATTATCATGACTCCCCCACATTTTTGAATGGGTTTTGGTTTTAACAATGCTTTCCATGGTGCAGTTATCCCTATCGTTTGTACACTTTTTTCTACCACATCTTGTCCTTCCCTTTGCCTCTTAAATAATGTCCTTGGACACAAAGCTCTATGAACAGCCAGTCTCTTTAGCAATAAACTTTTGTGTCTTGCCCTGCCTCTGTAAGTTGTCAATCGTCGTCTTTTGGTTAACTGTCAAGTCAGCAGTCTTCCTCATGATTGTGTAGCCTACAGAACTAGATTGAGACAATTGTAAGGCTTTTGCAGCTACTTTGAGGTAATTAGCTGACTAAAATGTGGCACCAGGGGTCTTCAATATTAAACTTTACACAATATTATAATATTCCAAGACATTGAATTTGAACTTTTCATTAATTGTCAGTTATAATCATCAAAATAATCAAAATAAGCATTTAAAATATATCAGTCTGTGTGTAATGAATGACTCTAATATACAAGTTTTGCTTTGAGACTGGAATTCCTGAAATAAATCAACTTTTTCAGAATATCCTAATTTTATGACGAGCAACTGATTAACCACAGAAGCCACAGCAGGACAGCTGTTATTCTGTGTCCTACAAACAAACTGGATAAGGACGAGTTGTCTGTGCATCTTACAGGTAGCTGGCTGGAAATTGACCACATTAAACACACTTCATACAGAATTAGGGCACAGCAAGCAGCCATGCCGTGTTAGTCCAAAACACTAAACAGTTTATCTACCTGGTTAATCTCATCCTGGGTGGACTTCAGAGACTTGATGATGGTCTCTAATTGGATCTTGCCAGCAGCCAGGCTCTGCTCTAGCTGACTCTCCTCTTGCTGCAGCCGGTCCAGGTCAGCTTTAGCCCGACTAAGCTCTTCTTCTTGATTCTGCAGGTCTGACTCTTGGGAGTGAATCTGGCTCTGGAGGGTTGAGATCTACAGGTACAAGAGTCAAATAACCCAAATAAAACCTGGTGTTACCCCAGGCTAAAAGTACATGCCCTTTAAAATCTAGCAGCCTGATTGTGCAGATTTCATCATGTTATTTTTTTATGTAAAAGGTAACAGAGAACGCTTATGATCCTTAAGTACATTAATAAAAAGTACAGTTTTCAGTGCAGTTGCCAAACTTACACAGAATCATAGCTCTGAGCCATCTATTCCCTTAGCCTTCAGCAGCAACAACTTTATGGGATTTTTCATGAAAAAAATCAGTTCTATTAAAAAAAAAAAGGAATCTGCATCCTCTCTAATGTGATTTCTTCTTCCTCAATAAGTGACGTAGCATCAGAGGTAACTGTAGAACCTCATCTGTGTTTGAACTGTTTTGATTCAGTCGAGCTTTCAGAGTAATAAAAAATATTAGCTTAATAATCAGCTCCATCACACATCAGTGACCCGATTGTTCCAGTAACTCCCCTACATAGGCGCTGCGCCACGGCTGAAATTCCAGCGCCACGCCTGCGAGGTTTCCCTCCCCGCGGGAGACGCACAGGAGCAAAATGTTCTGCACACAACGCACGGAAATGAGACAGAGTTTTCCTCTCCACTGCCGCTACATGCTTGCTTAGTATGGGGATTGCTGTTAAGTCTCTGACACTTGATGCAATCTGCTAAGTTCCTTATATAGGAAATCTTTAATTAACTGGCATAATGAACTGAACTCAACTGGAATGTTTACCTTGTGAAGTGCCTTAAGACAACTCTTGTCGTGATTTGGTGCTATATAAATAAACAGAATTGGATTGAATTTGGTGACATTTAAATTTAAGAGGGCAGGAGGTTTTGGAGGAGGGCCATAGTAACAAGGTGAAGCATAGATGTCAACCAGGAGATGTCTGATAAAACTCAGGTGTCAGATAAACATCTCCAGCTCCGACTAAGATTTACACTTCTCATTTGTTTAATCTAAATTTATACAAATGAACTATCTGGGTTATTTTCCTTCAGTATGTTGAATAAAAAATATATTAACCAAATCTAATTTAAGAAGTTGTTGGTAAATGCTAAGTTTCTCCTCTTTTCCTCACCAGCTGAGACTCCTCCTGGCACTTGATGCGCACTTCGCTCAGCATGTCCTCCAGTTTATGTTTCTGCTGGTTCATCTCTTCCAAGCGATCCTGAGCATCTTGTTTCTGAGCCTCGAGCTCCTGCAGGCTGATTGTCTCTCTGTCCAGGTCGTTCTGCATCTCCTGGTGAACCATTTATTTAAACTTGTGAATACAGGTCATTGGTAGACAAGATTGCTTGCTGCTCAAAACAGAGTTCATACTGGTGAATGCAATATGTCATGATTTCAAGCATTTTAAACTGACTTAAATCAGCGTACAGTGAATCTTTCCTTACCTGCACCTCTGCAGTCTTGTGTCTGATAGCCTCCTCCATCTCCCGGATGTCTTGCTCCAGAACATACTTTTCCCTGATGAACAGAGCCACACAGCCAGAAGTTTCAGCTACAAGAGTGCATCCAAACGCAGATGAGTTAAGACTAAATAAAACTTAGAAAACATAATTGACACATTTGCATTTAAGAGGTGCTTAGGAATAAAATTTACTTAAACTCTTAGAATAAAAGTAAGGGGTTCAGGGATATGAGACATGGGATTATTTCCACAAAAAGAAACAATCAATGATGAACAAGAGTCTGGTTCTAGACCTGCAGAAAGAGAAAAAAACAAAAAAATAAAATAAAGAAGAGCACACACAACAATACAACTAGAGCAGGCTATCACTGCATCACCCTGATGCAGAAATATAAAATCAACATTGTTTTACTGAACAATCACACGATAATAACTCACAGTGCATTTAGTGCCAGCCATAGCCTTAAGACATGTGTTGAAAATGCCGAAGTCCATACTTATGAGTGCACCATGTGGGCACCTGTGTGCGTTCAAGCGCATGTATATGGAAGGTATGTATTCAACATAAATGCTAAAGTGCTGAGAATCAAGCTACATTTGAGGAGAAGACAACAAAAAAACACTAAATTACTCAGTAAACCCAACAAATGAAAATAACTTTAGCTTTTTTTCATCCGTTGGCATTGATGAGCAGCATCATACTAAATATGTCAGTGTAGAAAACTACTCATCTCAACCAAAGATTGACTAAGATTTTAAAGGAAAACTTCAAACACCTGCAGGAAACTGGAGATATATGGTAATAATCTGAAGAGTAAAACCAAAGTGGTAAAGAACTGATCACTAAAAGAGAAAAACTTTGAAGAAGGTTAGAAAAAAGTTTATAGCTTAATCTTATCAGAAGATGATTGGGGTAAATTTAAATCAAAAACAACGTAAAGAAGAGATAGAACATTTTACAGACAGTATGGTAGTCATTTTTCTAAAACTGTCATGAACTGTTTTAGTTCAGTAATTATTGAGAATGACTAAGATTACATTTTTATCTCTGGTTGATATTCAAGAATTGTGACTTGTGTCTTTTTGTCTAGTAACTTCAAATTGTTTGTGCGATTTCTAATGACACATTTTTGTTCAGAGATTCGTCTCTTGTGTGCCACAAAATCGCTGTTGAGCACAGTCTTGTGCAACATGGTAAAACAAGTATTACTCTAGGTTGCAGCTTATGGATATATAGTGTAAAGTTGGCAAGTCAACACTGTTAACTGTGCAACAATGAAAGAGACAGATTGGTAGCTCATACCTTTATAAATTTTTATTTACCTGAGAGTATTCCACTGGGTAAAGGCAAGTGTGCTGACACAGCATGAACAAAAAAAAAGGATAAATTATAAATAGCAAATGATAGGTGGATGGATAAAATGGTTGACAGAAGAATGGCTGGGTGGATGTGTGCAAGGCTGTGAGCATTAGATCTGAAGCCACTGAAACTGGTCCGCGTGTGTGTGTGTGTGTGGTAATTTGTGAATGAAGTGCAGGAAGGAATTCAGTAGGCTCCAGCCTAATACCTAGTGAAGGGCCAAACACCAGAGGGGTCAAACTGAGCCTTGCAAACCCACAACGATCCTTAGTGTGACAACCCCAGCAGAACTTAGTATTACACTTAACCTTCTTTGTCTGCTAGACAAAGCTGCCCCAGAACAGCTGTGGCTATAACATTGTTCATCACCACCAGGATGTGTATAATACATCAAACTTGTATAACACACTGCTAGTGATGGTAAGCTACTACGTAGCCACAGCCGCCCTAGGGCAGTCTGACAGAGGCGAGGCTGCCATTTGGTGCCGTCGGCCCCTCTGACCACCACCAGCACAAGCAAGTTGGGTGAAGTGTCTTGCCCAAGAACACAACAGCAGAATACCCCTGGCGAGAGCTGGAATCGAACCCATGACCCTCCGATCATGAGGCAACCCGCTCTACCTCCTGAACTACTGCTGCCCCAACAATGACTGTGTTGTAAAGCGCCTTGGGGGGTTCTAGGACTCTAGAAAGCGCTATATCAAATGCAGGTTATTTACATTCAGTCACAAAAGGTTCTCCTCATGTCTGGACCTTAAGAGTGTGTGTTTGGTTTTTGTTGGGGTTTTTTGAGAGCTCCATTCATTTGTGTAGATTTTCAGTTGTCCAGGGCATGATAATCTTCTGAACCTTCATAAATATAAATTCATTTTACTGGTATTACCTCTGTAACTGGGCAATCTCCTGGCTGATATCATCCAGCTCCTTTATTCCAGTGAACTCTCCTGAACCCATGGAGCTAGAGCTATCCTACAGAGACAGAAGAGACAAGAGTGGAAGAAGTCAGACTGGTAATGAAATATTTTTGGTATAAACACTGGATTGATGAGCCATGGCAGACTGGGCTGAGGGACAGACATTGGTGAAGATAGGATTGGAGTGGTGAATAAAAGGAACAGGAGACATAGGCTTGATAAGCTGGAGAGTCACCTACATGTGAAGGAGAGTCACCACCACATACTCAAAGCCATGGAGGAAAGATTCCAACATTCTCACATTTTAGAAGGATACTGACTATTATTTAAGAACATCTAAAACATTGATGAGACCTACGCCAGTTATCCCCAAACCATTGAGCATATTTCCTGGTCCAACCAGAGCCGGTTGAGGCATTAGCAAACTAAGAAGCTGCCAAGGGTGTCAAGGGTAGCAGTGCCCAAAGAAAAACCAGTGAATTGTCATTTAAGACATGTGGAGGTTCCTCCAGCCATTTCTCAGTGTTAGTATTATTTAAAAAAATTTTTTCCACACGCTGGTTTATTATTTCATTTTGTTGCAATATTGTAAGATGTTTACTAATGGGTGCACACATTTAGTAATTTATCTTATACATAGTTTATTTGATCATTAACTATTTTCATTTGTATTCTGCTGAGATTGGATGAACTGGCAGAGAGAGGGGACACGCCCAGTGTAACTCCAGGCAGGAAGTGGAACATTCCATCTGGCTCCTGGATGCAGGGGACTTGATAATGAAGAAACCAGAAACCAGACGTTCTGAAGCTCTAATTGAGTTTACCAGATTTTGTTAGGATGTATTAGTTAAACTTTTTGTGGTAGTTATACTTTGTTGACTTAGTTTCCTAGGTTTATTTACTGTTTCCCCTGTCTCTCCCCTCCTCGTTGTCTGTAGGCTAGCCTGTGTGTCTCAGCTTTGGCAGTCTTGCTTGTTACTTTTAGTTGAGGTTATTTCCGTGGCCATTTTTTCCTTTGGGCCCGTTTTTGTTTTGATTTTGGTAAATCATTTATGGAAATAAAGTGAGAAGATATTCTTTTTATACCATTGTCCTGGAGTTTTACTGCTCGGTCCCTGACAGGACAGGTTAACCAATGTACTAATCAGCAAGAAACACAGAGGCAGCTGTAGCTCAGGAGGACAAGTTGGTAGCTCATTCTTTACTTCACCCACAACAGAGAGAGATCACCTGTCAAGTCAAACTTCAGAAATTTGAAGGTGACTCAGAACAACTGGTCCTATAACAGTTTTCATCATCTATGAAATATTTCCATCCTGAGAAGGTTGGTATCTAAAATTGAACTTAGGATGGTTCTTTGTGCTTTTAATTCCTCCCATCCAGTTGGTCCAGAACTCTGCAGCAAGGCTCCTGACTGGAACCAACGGGAGAGCTCACATCTCTCCTGTTTTAATGGCACTGCTCATTTTAGATTTCACTTGATAATCCTGACTGTAACCTTTGGGGATCTGCAGGATCAATATCTTCTTTATGTAACTGAATAGTTTAAGTCAGAAACTCCAACCAGAGCCTCCGACCAGTGTCCATTAGCAGGTCTCAGGACCTGATCCAGGCCTGAATGTTTAAATGTTATGCTGTTTTGGTGACAAACTTCATAAGTTTTCTGAAAAATGTGCTATAGAAAAATGTTTGACTTAACTGAGACAGGGCCTGTAAATCAAATTGTATTTAAACCAGTTGATAGGTGATGTTTATAAACATGGACGTAATTTTTACTTTAGAAGTGTGTGTGTGTGGGGGGTGGGGGGGGGGCTTTACAGTATGCTCTAATGGTAAAAAAAAATGGCCTGTATTTGATATAGCGCCTTCTAGAGTCCTGGAACCCCCCAAGGCGCTTTACAACACAATCAGTCATTCACCCATTCACACACACATTCACACACTGATGGTGATGAGCTACGATGTAGCCACAGCTGCCCTGGGGCGCACTGACAGAGGGAAATGGGAATGGGAAACAGGCTTCAACACAAACGGTTGTTTTCTGCTTGGTCCTAGAGCTCAACCAGTGTCAATTTAATATAGCGTAATATTGTTTTTGGATGGTAAAAAGTGCAGGGGTCAAAACTTGACTTTGGAAAAAGTGGGGGGGGCCTGTCCCCCCTGTCCCCCCCCCCCCCCCCCCCCCCCAAAAATTACGTCCATGTTTATAAAAACTGAGCTGAACTGCCTGAAGTTTCTGTCGCATCTAAATGCAGACATGTGAAGAATTGTTTCACTGAATATCCAGTTCTCTTGAATCTTCCCTTTATGAGCAGATGATCGACAGGTAGAAACACTGGGACTGCACTGAAACTCTTCAAATGTTTTCCAGTGTTTGAACAGCCACTGAAAGCATTTCTGGGTTAATATATTTTGCAGATGTGTGTTACCTACCCACAACTTCAACATTATAGCCTGAGAAGAAAGATGCAGAAACACCAACAAAGCAGAGTTCAAATTGAAGAGAAGAACAAGTGTGAGTGATGTGCATCTCATCAAACTTTTTGGTATTTTTAATAAAGTTGGAAAAGTTAGAGGAGACGGTCAAATGATATTCAAATCTTGCAGACTGGTGTGATCATCAAACATGTAACAGACTAATATCCAAGCCTTTAAGACCAAATCTGCTACAAACACGAGAAACATGTGAGCAGAGAGATGTGACAAAGGGAACATAGTCACCCTTCTGATTTCTGACAGAGCGGCCATTTCTGATCCAACTGGAGTCATAAATCCTGACAGCGTCTGCAACAAAAAAGGTAAAAAGCTTCAATACCAACACAACATTCCCACTGAGTGTCACCTACAGACCAAAAACTGAAGAAACCTCTGGAGTGTTAGGTGGAAAAGAGTGTACAAAAGTTGTTTTTGATTACTCACCCTTGGGACATGAGGCCTTAAGTCATGCTAGGTTTATAATCTGGTATGGATTCATGAGATTTCAGCAGGGTGGTGCAATATGTGCAGATATTCATCACCACCCGCATTTTTCAACTCCTATCCTATGGCACAACCCACAAGTCCCACATGTGCAGAATGCTAATTAGTTTTATATTTGTGCATTAGGCAAGAAATTATCCAAATTCTACAAAGTTGTCTCTATATAGACATGCAGAAGCAATAGACAACACAAAGAAAAACTATGGTTTTTTGGCCACAGGCTTCTTCATCCGTCTGTAGCTCATCACAATCAGTGTGTGAGTGGGTGTGTGAATAGATGAACGATACACTGTGGTGTAAAGCGCTTTGGAGTCCTCTGACTCTGAAAGGCGCTAAACAAGTGTTGTGGGTCATTTATCATTTACACAAATCTTCACCCCCTGAGAATGCCCAAATCCAAAAAGCATTCAAGCTTCACGTAGCTTGGAGCAGAAGAATTTCTCAATAATTGTATACAAGGCATAGTAGAGCAATAGTGAGTAATGATGAATAAATGTTGATAGTTGCTGTCTGAGGGATGCATAGAAACAGTGTGTGTGTGTGTGCGTGCACGTGAGAGATACCTACTGGTACAGGAGTGCCTCTCTCGGAGGGAGGGATCATGTCAGCAGTTAGGGCTTGTGGAGGATCAATGCCCTTGCTCACTTTCTGCTGAATGAGATGCATGGCGAGGGCAAACTGTTCCCTGGTTAGTTTGCCTATCTGTCTTGTGTCTGCCAAAGCCCTGCAGGTTAGGGAAAGGCAGCAGATGGAAACACATCCATGTAATTCAGTCACGCAGACTCAGTCGGAGTCTGTGGGTGTCTCAGGTGAAATTCTCCTACATGTCTGTCCACACCACACTCAGGTATGCAGCCCTGGTTTATAAGGACAAAGTCTGCATGTTCTATATTATTCTGTGCCGGGGATTATGAGTTCTCCAGTTCTCTTTTACATTTCAAACATGCATTTTTATTTACTGAAAAATTTCTAAACAGAATTTGTGATGTTAAAGGGGCATTATGGAAGTTTGACAGCCAAAACATGTATAGAAATAATAAATTTCTTCTTCATACATTCTCCTGCAATGCCCTGGTCCTGTAGAATGAGCCCTGGCATTTTTACTGTGATTGCCTGTTTTTCTGTACAATCACAGAAAAAGAGCTGCTCGGGTCGAGCAGGCTGCATCATGCGCGTTCACGCTCAGGCATAGCCCGTAGCATTTTGCAGCAGAGAGTGAGGCAGTGCCAACTCATCGACTTTGTCGCTGTTCCTAACCCCCAAATTCCACTACCTCCGCTCCGCTCCGACACGAACGCTGGAGCAAAATCGGTCCCGTTGTAGTCTATCAGATCAATTCCACTACTGCGGCCGTGCTCCGGCAGTGCGGCGCCGTGCGCCGCCCTCTTTTCCGGTGTCCGGCAAAAATAGAATCGATCCTATTTTCGCCGGACGACGGAACACCTCCGCAGTAAATTGACAGAAATCACAACCGCCCAACAGGAAAAGGAGCAAGCACAACTTCCGTTTTTCACAATAAATCGATAAACAAAAGGCGTTTTTTGTTTCATATGCACAGGTTTAACAACTTTTAACAACTATCAATGGCGGCTGAAGTTTAAATGCACAAAAGTAAGCCATAAATACAGTTTCCACTATCAAAGTAGTCACACTTTGTTGATCCAAACACTGCTGATCTCTCAACACAAAAGATGGGCAGATTCAACAGTTCATTTCGATGCTTCTCCCACACAACGGGTGTTTGGATCTAACTTCCGCGTTTATTGCTCGGACTGTATCGCAAGATCTCGAAAATCCCGCGCATGCTTGTTTGCCCACCTCAGGTCTCCGCACCGGAGCGGAGCCGTTGTAGAGCGGGTACCAGTAAAAATTGAGTTCGGAAGCGAGCGGCTGCGGAAGGCAGGGGCGGAGCGGAGCGGAGGTAGTGGAATTTGGGGGTAACGCCTATTGATGAACCTAGCAACATTTCTGAGGACACTTAGCTACTTTCTTCTAGATATTTCCTGCAAATTAGCAACAAAATAGCCATTTTCGCTCCGAACCGTCCTTTGAACGTTGTTTCAGCTGTCATCAGGAATATAAGTATTACAGATACAAAAGACGTCACTGGTGCTATAGCTCACCCAGTAAGTCGGCAGACTCCCGTGCGGAAGACCTGGGTTTGATTCTGGATGTGAACATAATTTATTTAGAGTTAATTTTTTACATTAATGGTATATTATTTTACAGTAAGATGCCCAAATTTTTATTTGAGACTCGCCGAACGGCATTGAATTCACAGATAAAAAAGATGTGGGTTCAACTTTCATTTTGGAACAATTTTTCAAGCAAGGGAAGGGAATGATCTGAGCATGCAGGAGGACTGACCCATCATAAACCTTTGTCAGCTGTGCTGAAGAGAAAGGTACAGAACCAAATTATTTAATTAATTAGCTGCGCGTTCTCCTGTCCTCTGTTTATTTGTTAGATCAATGATTAACCCTAACCCTGACTCCAATGTCTAACAAACACCTGACAAACATAGAACTACACCTGTGTATGAAAAGCACAAGCTGTCTCTTTGATTTTCATTTTCACATTAGGAGAAATTACTTATTTCTGTACTATTTTTTAATTTTATTTTGAAAACTCCCACACAAAATTAAATGAAACAAGCTCTTATTTTTATATTATACGTGAAATAAAAGATAATTCTTCAAGTTATGAGGTTGATCAAACTTTTGGGTGTTGTGGCCCATACTGAGCCCGTTCAGTGCATTTGTCACAGAATGACACGTTTACTAGCCTAGAGGTCTAGACAAACTGAAGCAGTAGCTAAAGAGATTGCTTTGCAGGTCGATCTAGCCTCGTTCCATTGTAGTAGGGTGACCATATTTCCATTTCCAAAAAAGAGGACAGGGGATCTGTGCCTAGCGATTACTAAGGCAACACCACACAAACCACATTGACATAACATATGGCTTAGGCTAAATTAAATACCAGATTCTGCCAACAGGATGGCTCTAAAAAACTATTCATATGTGAATTGTTGCACATTTAAACTGTTTGCAAAGATTTTTGAACTGCACCTATTAAAATCAAAGATGTGTCAGCGTGCCAGGCAGGACATTTTTGAACCATGTGTGACAATCCTTTTATGCTGCAGATTTGTATCTATTGAACAGTGGGTATTGTAGTGATCTTTGATCTTTCCATATTATACATGTTTAATTCATTTTAAAAGCATTTCATCAATGTCCATTTTTGCAAAATACTAAATATTTTCTACCATAAGTTTTAGACAGTCCTGCTCAGACTAATATAATAAACCGACAAAAATGATCTGAACGAAATTGTTAATTATTGGGTATTATCATATAATTCTAAGGAATTATCATCAAACACAGAAAAACACCTGAAAAATTACTAAATATTTTAACGATCTGTTAGGGGTTGTTGTTATGTGTTCGTGGTTGCTGCTGCACTGATGCAGTTGCTTTAAAAGGGGCCTTGGTTGGGTGAATAAACGTTTTAGAGAGTTTCTGAGGGCTGGAGCAGCAGAGATGCAGAATTATCCCAGCGGTTTGTTAGACTACATTAACAAACCAATTTTAAGAGCTAAATATTTTTTTCTGCTGCTGCTTTAGTTATAATAAGAAGAAATTATCTTACTGTGCATTTTACTACAGCATCGTTAAAGCTACCAGTGCACAAATTAATAAGTATGTGTCATGTTCTGTGTCCCTGTGGTCCCCAGCCCCCTCCAGGTTCTCTCATGTGACCCGTAACTTCTGTGCCCCCCTTTTGGTCCCCAGCGTCTTCAGGTTTCCCTTTAGTCCCTTCACTTATCATTAGTTTATTTATCTTTAGTCTTTGTTCTACAGTGTTTAAAGTTCAGGTTATTTTGGTAGCTTTGGTTTAGGATTTAGATATGGTTTTCTCCCCTGCTTATTTCTGCTTCTTCCCTCAGTTCATTAGTTTCACCTGTGCCCAATTACCCAAGCACCTGCTCCTCATCTCATTTCATTCATTTTCATTTCGTTTATTTAGAAAGCCCCTTCTGCGACCAATGCAGACGCCCAAGGTGCTGAACACAACGCAATAAAAACATAATACCATCAGAATAAAATATTACAATCGTAAAACCAGCATAAAATCAATTAAAAGAGGAGAGTAAAAGCAAAAAAATAAAAACCAGAAAAAGATTAAGAGGCCGGGGCATCGAAACCGGGTAAAATTTGCTAATCCTGAAAAGCCTTGACAAAAAAATGGGTCTTAAGGCGAGTCTTAAAACCCCCAATAAGGGTGACTGATGCACCACCAAAGGCGACTGGTTCCAAAGTGCAGGTGCCAACACAGAGAACGCACGGTCCCCCCGTGACCTGCACTTAGTGCATGGAACGATCAACAGCTCCCTGCCGGCTGAGCAAAGGGCCCGCGAGGGGGCATGTCTATACAAAAGGTTGCCAAGATATGCTGGAGCAGTTCCGTGTAAGGCCCTGTATGCCAGCACCAAGACCTTGAATTTTGCCCTGTATTGTACAGGCAGCCAATGAAGGGATGCCAACACAGGGGTGACATGTTCCCTGCGCCTAGTGCCTGTCACGAACCTAGCGGCTGAGTTTTGAACTAACTGCAAGCGTGCTACCACACCCTGACTATCACCCAGCCCAGTATGCATGTGCTGGTGCATGGTCAGGATGGTACCACCTCTGCCTCAATTTGAGCCAGGAAAAAGCCTGAGTCAGAATGTGGATCAGTAGGTCAGAAAGGTAAAATGTAATATTTTGAACTAGGTTTATGTATGAAGTGTAAAAGCTGAGTCCCTACCATATATGTGCCAGAAGGTTCTGAGAAAGTCCAGACTGCATAAAGATGTCCTTCACCTCCAATCCACTGACAAAGCCATCAAGGTCAGCATCCGTTTTCAGGAAGATGTCGTCATAGCGACCACGTTCTGAGAGTGGAACCACCCAGTTCAAAGAATGCTTAAACAGAGAAACACACATCTGTTCAGAGTTCTCCCAGATTGAGGACAAAAGAGCTTAATAAAACTGATGCAACGGAGGCAAATGTCCCACAAAGTTCCACAAATGAAATGGTATCATCAAAGGAATTCATCATTTACTATATTTTTAAAGAAATTAAGCTATTTTAAAAGAGATGATATAAATACTGACTGAACTGGACATAATGTATCACAACCAAGCCCCCACAATGCGGGTGAAAAATTTAGGCCAGCGCGGACGTGACAAAATTGCAGTTCCACCCTCAGCTCCACCTCTCTTCCCTTTTGTGGAATTGTCTGGGCTTGACGGAACCTGTGACACGGTCAAAATGGCGGTGGTGGCCACCTCCCATTTATCTTCAAAAATGTGTTATTGGAGTCTATGGAAAGCCATTGTCCAATATTTATATTTCGATGATCACAACATAATTTTAAAAATATTACGAAACATCTGGAAGGACTTAAAAAGGCAACGACAAAAGCAGATCCTTACTATTAGTATATTTAGTAACCCTAACCCTGTATTAAAGAAAAACAAAATTGTTTGCCAAAATTAGAAATGTATAAAAGAAAGTTGATTGGAGTAACATGTCAACTGACAGAAACTAAGAAATCAGGGCCACAGATGGCAGGTTTGCGCTAACAGGAGTCACTCTTTGACCATATTAGAAGCAAACACCAAGCCAAGCAAGGATAGATTAAGGACCACAGTTCGTGGTCTTTGGGCCTTTTCAACAGATCTTTGGCTTTTGTCTACTTTTTTCAAGTACTCTTTAAACTTTACAAGCGATCTAGTGAAACAAAACAGAGTTTAGGAAAGACCGACATTTAAAATTTCTCAGCAGTGTTCTGCTTGAAGACAAACTAGACTGTATAATGTTTTCTCACTACAGTGTCTAGTGTGTGCATTACCTGCCCTGACTTGAGTGTGTGTTTGGGTGATAGGCTGCCAGTGCTGTTGAGAGAGGTCATACTGCCATGAGACGGTGTTGAGCGCAGTGAGTCTTTGGGTGGTGGGGGGCTTGCTGGTAGTCCAGGTACAGGGCCCGTCACTGAGCAGAGACTCTTTTTCCTTTTCGATGGAGGGATGAGAGAGCAGGGGAGGAGAGCAGGAACAGGCTCCTTCTCCAAAGCCCGGTACACCAGGTGCATGGCCTGAGGGAGCACAGTCTGCAGTTAATACATGCTATTAATTATTTCATAAGTCCCTTTTTAAAACTGTAACACCTTCAGGCTGCCAGCCTTTGCTCCGATTGCAGACACAAGTTCAAGTATGCTGTAACAGCATTGTATTAATATTAAAGAGCAAGTCACCCCCTACAAGAAACTTACTTCACTCCCACTTCATGTTTGAAAAATGCAACAAATGCTGTTGCTTGGCAGACCGAGAGGGCGGAGCCGCTAACAAATACACACACACACAGGCTCACAATGGAATTATGACATCATAATATACCAGATGACATCATAGCATACCTCTTAGCCACTAGCGGTGGCAGATTAAAATTCAAATAAAGTGCAGAATTTTTCCCTGACAACGGCGCAACACTGACAGTTTTAGGCAGAATATTTGAATTTTAACCAAGATGCACTGAACTGCCAAATTATTGACTACACGTGTCTGTAGCATGATTAGACACTCCTTTATATAGTTTATCAGCAAAAAAAAATGTGATTTGGGGGTGACTTGCTCTTTAAGGTTGAGCAGTAAAAATTGTATAAATAGAGTGTCCAGAAATAGTTTAACATTGCTTTTGAAACCTGCTGCCAGGTGAATTCCTATCACAACACAACACAGGGTTTTCCCCAGTGCTTTATAAGTGTGACAGATCGTCAGACTTTGCTTGACCATCCCCCAAGGCCCTCCCATAATTTATTTATTTTAAATATGTTTTAATGCACAAAAGTAACATTTAAAATGTTTCAATGAAAAGAGGTCTTTAACCTGCAAGTCCGACTTTAACCACATCTGGTGATACAATTGAGAGCACCCGACACCTGACCTCTCAGTAAGGAGAGAGTGCATCTCCGGCACTTGGCAAGAATGACAAAAATCAAATATATAACAGGCTGTCACAAAATATAACTTAAACAATCCTTATTTATGGCTCTAACTGAAATATTTGCAGTATTACGGTAGTTAATTCGTGTTGGTCCAGAAAATTTTGCTATTCAATTCAACATTACATAGGCTTCATTTTATAGCTGTGCTTTTTCTGATGTTCTTAGGCAAGGTGGCAGTGAGCACAAGCAATCAATACTGTTAATTCAGTACACCGATTAAATAAATGAGTGTTATAAAATAACTAATAAGCTTTCACATTTTTCATGTTGTAGCCTCGTCAGTCAATAAAGCCTTTGAGCCAGTGATTAACATGAAGCACGAGGAAATAACTGGTGGTTAAATGCCTTTACTGGCGGCTAAAACATGAAATGGCCAATCATGCAAATTATGCAGCCATTATGCAACAAATTCAAATGGTGTTTTTCTATTTGGGACTCTGGTAGTTTTTCCTAAAATTGAAGTGGTAGCAGCTGGCTGTTTCTCCTTCTGTAATATGACTGCACTAGGGATGTACATAGTTAACCAGTTAACTGCTGTCAACGTTGTAACTGGGTAAAATAGTTTTGGCCGGTTAACCACTTAAAGCCCCTCCAGAATGAGCTTATGAGCACGTAATCTCAAGATGTGCTGTGTATTTAAAGCCAGATGGTCCACTGTGAAACAAATTCTAAGCCTGACGGACATTTCTGCTGGCATCCCACTCCATCTTTTTTTTTTTTACTTTTTTTTTTTCATAAATGGGAGTGTGGGACTTAAGTTGTGTGTCAGAATTATATTAAAAAGAGTAGACGGAAAAAGCGCCATTTATAGAGCGGAGGCAAACATTTGTGTGCATCAGGGAAGGGGGGGGGGGGGGGGGCTATTAACCGTTAAGGGATGTCAGTAACTGGTTAAAAGAAATTTAGGAAAACGTGCATCCCTAAATTGCACCTCTAACGCCAGAGGTGTTCTGTTGCAAAATATGCAAGTAAGAAAGAACAGAAAGAAAATGATCTTTTATATAGCGCCTCTCAAGATAAAAATCACCTAATGAATGGAGGACCCGGGAAGTGCGGAGAAACCAACAACTGGATGGTCCAATGGTTGCTTTCAGTCTGAAACGTGTTATTGGTGGAGGTTTTGGACAAAGCGATTATTTTCATTTCTTTTTATCTCCACTATATATTTATAGCTATACTATTAAATAAATGTTTTGACCTAATTTGTTTTTCAAATTTGCTACTGCAGCTGTATTAATTAAATACACAGGAAACTGATGTGGCCCCCAGTGGCTGGCTGCAGTAGTGTTTTGCAGTATTATGTATTTAGAACCTGGTAAAGAAAGATTTTATGTGCTGATACATAAAACCCTGCAGCAGTAATTTGACCATTGACATTAAATCAGGGCTCTGATTCCTGGTCACATTTTCCCACACTGACAAAGCTACTCACCTGAAAGCTGAGACTTTAAAAAAGTTAAAGCACAGTTGAAGCAATATTGGAATACACAAGAAAATTAATTAAACTCACCACTGCAAATTCATCTCTGTCCAGATGTCCATCTTTGTCTATATCACTCAAATCCCAAACCTAAAAGAGCAAAACAAAAACTTGAGCTCTCTTCATAGTTTAAGTCTAGAAGAAAGGTGTTCTATTTGATAAAGTATCAGTAACAGTCATAAAGCTATGCTGCTTTACTTCTTCTGACTCAGGAAGAACATGGCTTTGCTGAAATGTTGCCATGTCTTGAATGATTTTTCCTTCCGAACTAGAAGAACAATGAAGTAGTGATCCTGAAAGTCACACAGCAGTTTCTACAAACAGTGTAAAGTTTGTGATGGTTTGTGTGTCCACAGGACTGACACACCCATGGAAAGGTCTGAACTTGTAAAAATTAGGGGTGAGACTTTATTTTAATTATGATTAATTAATTAGAAAAAAATAATGTGTTAAAACAGGGTATCTGCAGGTTTAAGGGAGCCAAATTTAAGACTTTTTAAGACCTTTTTTTAAGGCCACATAGACCAAATTTCAGCAATTTTAAAAAATTAATTTAAGCTATAATTTCCAGCTACTGCCTGGAACCGGTGCTAACCACATCGCGAACGTGGGATTAACTATCCAGTTACCATTAAACTTGCACTTCCCCATGGCGCAAGCTCCCGCTAGCTTAACCAGCTAATGTGCTCATCTAAAAATAGCCCCCTTTCACAACCAACTGAATGTGTACAGTTCCGCTTACGCCAACATCGTACACAAAAAAATGCTGAACACCAACTAGAAATTCACGAAGATTTTATAGAAATAATAGAATCTTGTTTATTGGGTCTTTGGTAATTTAAGACCTTTGGAAACTGTATTTAAGGATTATTAGTCATTTTTAAGGATTTTTAGGGCCTTAAATTTGGGAAAGCTAATTTAAGACTTTTTAAGGACCCGCAGATACCCTGTAAAAAATTCATGCATTTAATCACAGCTTGAATATCAAAAAGGTGGAACCTTTGCCATTGCACATTTTCTGGGTACACAGACTATAACTGACGCACAAAGCAGCCTTGCACTTGAGTCAGTGAGGAACAAAGATGTGATCAGGCAAGATATTCGCTGCTGCAGGCGTGAATCTACGTGTAGCTATACCCTTCTTGGCGTGATAGCGGGACTTCCCATGTAAGGAAGGTCCGCTCACCCGTTCACCGCTCAGGCGTCAGATCATTCATTTGATCATTAATTCCTAACTGTGTCTTTACCACCCAACTTCAGCATTCCCTTGTCTGGGTCTGACCCACGTTAGTAAATAGAAGTTGTCCATCAGATTTGTGCCTGTTCTAGTGTCATGTTTAAGGATTTTTCATTTTAGATATGATATGCTAATAGAAATACTAATGAACACACACAATTAGGTATACAAGTGAAACAGGAAAATTTTTAATTTTGTGCAAAAGTACTTTCATTTCAGTAATTCTACTTGGCTGAGAGACAATTTAAGGGCTCAGGAACCCTTTGCAGGTAATTTCTATTTGCAATTATACTTTTTATTTGATGGGGTCTTGCTTCATATAATGCAGAGACATTTGATTAATTACAAAGCATTTATTTTAGAAATT